TGCCCTACCTGAGCCACATCTAAATCTCTGTAAAGTCAGTGGTAGTCTGGTTGGTCTTAGTAGGAGCTGCCTGGACTTAGTTAGGTAAAAGCTTCTGTTTACTTGAGATACTGAACTAAATCCTCAGCACTTGTTCAGGTTTTACTTAGTCTTTTTCAAATACAACTTTTATTGGGCAAGCTCTTTACATAATAAAAGTAGTTGTTTTAAGACTTCCCCAAGAATGACAGTAAGAGATCAGTGATTTTTTCCTTAAAATATTACTTTATTTCCAAATTAATACGTTAAAAGAAGGCAGAGAAGGGACTATGGTAAGAGAACACACACCAGTGGTTTCTAAGAACTGTTAGAGGATAAGCATGTGTGTGGGTGCATGCTGCTGCATGATCTCATGCTTGAAGCTTACTGCCTGTGATCATCATGAAGAAGATGGTACCTTATTCTAGAGAGATTTTAAAATACCAAAACCTCTAGGCAGTCCTAGCAAAGCTGCGGTGGCATGGGTTTGTGTACTGTGCTGGGTGTCAGGATATCCCATACTTATGTGATACAGGCAGACAAACCCTGCATACCCTGCTAGTATTGGAACAGCAGGCTTCTTGATCATGTGCATCTGGAGTTTGTTGCCTATGCCTATCATAATTTAAAGTGCAATTACTCAAGCCGTTTCCTGAACTCTGCTGTGGTTCATCCTCTTCTATTATGAGAACCCAGATAATACTGTCTTGTTTTGTTTTCTGTTTTGTTCTGTGGAAAGATTTACTACATAAACTCAGGTGGGTTAAATATCAGGTCTTGCACACCTTCCTTGTGTTCTTCTGAAATGCCCAAGTGCACAAGGCCTGCCTGTCTGCAAGATGCTCACGTTAAAACTGCAAGATGCAAAGAATCATCTGCCAACTAATGCTATGCACATTCTCATCTGGTCTGTGGCCAGTAGGTGAAGTGAAAACGGACGAGTTTTCTTGAATGAAACCTGTTCTCCAGCTCACATCTAAAAGGTACTGGTATGTGACTGATGTTCTGACAAGTGCCAGTAAGGCACAGCTAACATGCTGGTCCTGTTTCAATCACCGTCATACGTGATCCTTGGTGAAACATTGTGAAATATCATTTGGTGTTTTGGAAGCTCCATGTGGCACATGCCAGGTAGTGTTCAGTGTATTCGGAATACTGAAGGTTTTTGCTGTGCCCCTGTGTATCTTGGGAAGAAAAATCATCTCCAGCAAAATCATCTGGGGAAAAACATTTGCGGATGAAACTGTTGCTGCTAACTATTCCCTCCACCCACAGGTCTTTCCTGAACGAAAATAAAAGCCTAATACTTAAACTCTTTATACTGCTCAGGAATGCTTACACCAGGAAGAGCTTCAGAAGAGATCCATCTGTCAGGGGGTTTCATTTATGCTGGTTACAGTTATGCTGATTCTTGCTTGGTGTTAACAGTGGGCTTCTGAGCTGGAATTTCTTTCGCGTGGTGCGTGAGAAGGATGAATGGTGCTTTTTCCTTCTTCCTCCTCAAGGAGATACTGTTGACTTGTTTTCAGCTTCCAGCTGCAAGGCACTGATGCTAGCGCAGGTGAGCTCTGTCCTTCCCACTCAGATGTCAGTAAGGGGAACAACCACCCTTTTTCAGGTCAGGCTTTCCAACGCTTCCTTCTGGCAGCTTCTGAAGTGACTGAAATAGAAGTCTGACTTCTTTTGGTCCTTGTTTCTTGGCCAAAGTTAGTTCAGGTTACCTGGGATTTTTCTGAGACCAGAATTTAAGTAGGAGGGAACACAGGCTTAATACAATCTACCATGATCCCCTCCCTAGATTGCCAGAGCCTTGCTGATACATCCCATGCCCTTGACATCTGACCAGTCATCCATTTTTAAATCCTGTCCAAAAAGCACTGGCTGTGCCAAGGAAGTTTCCCCACCGTGTCATATTCAATGTATCTGCCAGGTCATGAACATGCATTATGTTAGAAATACAGGTGTGTGCTGCAGAAAGTTGATCCCATTTACAAGATCATGAGATGTTAAATTCCTATGAATTCTCAGGACTGTGTTCAACTGTAACCCTGTATTTTGGAACTGGTCATGATGTTTGAAATGTTGCCCTGTGTTCTGAAGAGATGGTCAGACCTGGGGACAGCTTCCTGTAGCTGAATGTTAATGAGATTGGCTTTGTTTCAGCAGGCAGGATTCAACAAATGTTAAACTTAGCCTGCAAGGAGTTAGAGAAGTACTGGGCTTTCTGTGCTGTACCTGGGAAATCCTGGGAAGCAATAGTAACTTCCTGTCCAAGCACACTTCTGCCAATCCTCTGTACCGGTCAGAGCATCAGTCCAGTTGTGGCAGTGCTATAAGGCAGGTGTCTGCTTGGCGTGCTGCTCTTCAGAAACCTTTCAAGTGGTGTGTGGATATGGCAACATGCAGGAGCGGGTTGCTTCTGCCCTGTGTTTGGCTGGATAAATATCTATTGCAAAGTGGGATCCAGATCCAGATTTCTCCCAAAGTTGAAGTGTGTTAAGATACAGGTTTCTGGTATAGTCTGCTGTGGAGACTGTGGCCAGCAATGAAAGGGATGTCAGTGACTCTGGGTTGGGTCCCTCTCAAATACGGGTGGCACAGGGCAAATACAGGAGTGAGGATATTGCTGGCTGGATTTTCACAGCATTATGTTAGATACACAAAGAAAACCTACAAGCGGGACCTTTTATTTTGTGATTATCTTTTAGTTTTGAGATATTGCAGTGTCTGTATATTCCAATTAAGTACTGAAAGCACTTGTCTTTGTATAGAAGATAACTGTTTAAAAATTGGAGCTGATCTTGTATTTAGGTAAAACATTTGTAGATAGGTAATTGTATAATGTTAACTTTACACTGGCATGTGTTGTATAGTTTATACAAGACACACTTCTGCAGAATTTTTTAGTTAGTAAATTTCTAGTAACTTAAATGTATAGTTTTGTATCCTTTCATGTATGTTTTCTCAGTATTACCACTTGCAGAATTATTTTTAGTTTCTTAAACTGTAACTGGTTATTTGTGTGTGATACACAGGGTTATTGACTGCAGCAATAAAGTGTTTCTATAAAAAAACCAGAACAAACCAAAACCATTATAGCATCCATTTTGTTTGAAAAAGCATTAGACGCCCATGTGTGAAAAAAAATGAGCTCTCCAGTAGTAAGATGATGATTGAATAAGTTATTTTCACTGGAGTAAACACAAAACTTGATGACTCTTTAGTGTAGCAGGCCGATACAGTCCATGACAGTTTGATGTTAAAGTGATTCGTAATGGTAAAGGAATAATTAACCATCAGAATAAGTGGGCGACTCCTCCAGCGCAGTGGGAAGATATGGCTGTGCAGGTGCTTTGGGCTCAGATGCAGAAATCATGGGGAGAATTTTCTGGCTTCTGCTGTGCAGGAGGTGGGAAGAGAGGATTCCTGTGAGCCTTCTGGAATCAACACAGTCTCGCTATGAATACTTCATGTCTGAAGTCAGCGTACTTGATGCATTGGTTTCTATGCAGAGGTGCAGAGCAGAAGATGCTCGTTACTATGACTCTTCACAAAGAAGAAAAATGCTTTTGTGTGAGTGTGGGTTGGTGGATGGCTGCATTTATTTTTCATTGCTTGTGACATGAGTATATTGTAGTGATGTGTGTTTTCATGCCAGGACTGAGCCTTAGAATAGGAGGTCTTCAGCAATTTCTCTTGAATAGGTTTCTAGTACTAGTAGGGCAAGGAAAACAGCTATCTGCAGTGGTGCAGATAAGATTTGTAAATTTTTGTCTGTTACAGTGGGCTCAAATAAAAATCTTTAATTTATATTTATTTTTAAGGAG